ATAATAAATAATAATTAATAATATCATTAGGCATATTATGGAGCCATGTGTAAGTGATTATTTTTTTTATTTTATTCAACTGTTGAATATTAATAAAATATTATTATACTGGGCACAAAACTATATCTGACTATTAAAAGATAAACAAAACTAATTATAAATGCAGTGGAATTATAAAATTATCATGCTTAAGTACCTGGGTGTAAAATATATATTTTAGTGAATAGATATTAAAACACTATTCTCATAATCACTTTAAGTTCATTAAATATTGCAGTGATGTACTGTCATATTAAACACTAACTATGTACCAAAAATCAATAATTATTTTGTGTTTAAGTATTCATAGTTGTTTAATATATCATGGTGCATAGAAATTAAAAATATTTATTCAAGAAGTAATATAAAATGATATTAATAAAAATTATTACTATTTACTAACATAATGAAAGGATTAATATGATACAATATGTATACTAAACACACGAATTTCTATTATTGTCAAATTAGAAGTATGTATTTTAATAATTTAAATAATTACTAAAGCAGTGTTAACATGAACAAATTTTTTATTAATATCGGTTCGAAGTATTGTGATGTTTTGATTATTTTATTTTAAATAAAAAAAAGAATATTAATGTTAAACCTTTTTAACTGTTAACTGTTTCAGCATATTTTAGAGCAACAATATTTTAGAAATCAAAATTATACTGACCATAACATTATTAGAAATATTAATAATTATAATAATTACTTAAAATTAAAAATATAAAAAGTGGTTTTAAATAATTTAAGAATAATATTCATTCATTCATACAAAAAAAAAAAAAAAAAATGTGGAAAACTATACTAAAATAAATACAATTTGTACATCACTTTTATTTACAATGTATAATTAAATAAGTAATATGTACTTGTATTACAACAGATAAAGTTGATATTCAAAATTCATATTTATTCTTCTATTATAAAAAAAAAGATTCATGGCTATTAACTTTTTAGTATTTATTTATTAATAAAAAATATCTTAACTTCCAAAACTGTTAACAATATATGACTTAACTAATTAAACCAGTATTAACATATAATGTATGTTATTTATTATATCGATTTAAATTATTAAAAATACTAAGATATCAGCTAGATACCACATATTTAAAAATATAAAATATATTTATTGTGTTTCTTCTTCGTAAATGTTTACGTTTATGCTCACAACATTTCGGAAAAATAAAAAGTCAAAAAATTAAAATTTTATACTTTCAAAATGTCACTGTTAAATTACTAATAACAAATAACTAAATATGTAATATTTTTTTTAATTTTGTGTAAATATCAAAATGTATAACGATCGTCCTAGTTTTGAAGCGTATAGGTAATTAAATGAGCTAATCAAAGCAATGTTTTTGAATTTATATTAAACGTACATGTACAAGTATACTTGTAAAATATATACTTAAAGTATACCTGTGATTTAAGATAAAAACTGTACGGTTATTTAAAATTATATTGAAAGAAAGTACCTTATTTTTTCTATAGTTGAAAATTAAATTAATAATTATCAACTCCACGAAACAATCAGACCAGAATGCTAACTAGCAATATCATTTCTAAGGGGTATATACCAATATATGCAAACAAATAGTAATTGATTTCTTTTTTGTTATTATTATTAAATTGTTCATATAATTATGTAAAATAGCTTTGCAATAAAAAAAAAATATATTATTATTACATTAAAATATACTGTATTAATTATTAAAAAACTATTATTACTATTATTTATAACCGTCGATGTAGAGTAGTTGATTCTAATTTATGAAAGTTTTATAATTATACTATACATGAAATATAACGATTGTATCAAATTCAATTTTGGTGTTTAATCTTTATAATAATTTTATGATTAACGCTATAATATGTGTATATATGATGTATATATAATTTGTATGTTTTAGCCTACTAAATTTTCTTATCTACACTTACTAAAAAACATTATTATTTATTATACTGTCGAAGGTCAATAGAGCCAATTGTTTATTTTGTTCTCATACAGTCAAACTATTGACTACAGTTTAAAATATTAATAAATATTATACATGATGACAAATAAAAATAAATTTATATTAATGCTCGCATGGCATATATTTTCGTATTTGTACAGTATAAATTGTTTTCTATTTAAGATACTCTAAAAATGGAAATGAATACGTGAGGACTGCTACTTGGTAATCAAATAAATGTACGTCACTATTAATTGTAAAACTAATAAATAGGGTTATCATCATGATTCTGTCAAAAGTTTTTACGAAATCATTGAAGTATTCGAGTGTATAACTAATTTATAAACTATTATGATTATAGCATTACATTTAAATAAATGGTTTGACGAGAAAAGTTGATAAAACACGTATGCAGAACAAATGTAACATTATGGTAAATTTAATCATCCATACACTTTAGACAATATAGTTTGAAAAATATGTATAATGAAAATATAAGAAAAAAATATTATTGATACGTTTATATTAAATACATTTTACTAATTTTGTAATTAAAAAAACATTGAATGTATTATGATTTATTTAAAAATAATATATATTAAACTTTTTGTATAATTTCCTTATTCATACATTTTTAAAAATATTTATGAAATACAACAAGCAACAATCAAAACTTTATAATATTTTATTTATTTTATTATACACTGAAGATAATAACATAATTATAGTTTTATTATTTACAATTACAAATATTTATTAAAAAACCACTTTTGAGGAAGTAAAATTTTTGTTTAATATATGATAATATATGATGTGCTCGTATGTTGAAGTTTCCATTTGTACATACAACTGCTAATGTGTACACTCGTAATGATTTTATAATTCAAAACCCCAGAAACCCTAGTAATTATCCAAGTAGGCCCTAATCACACGTATAACATATACATTTTTGCTGAATCAAAACGAAAGTGACGCGTACTCAATCGTGGGTCCACGACTATTGTGATAATGTTTATTTTATTAACAGGCAGAATATGTGGGCTTTGAAAAAATGTGAAAGCTTTAAAAATCTACATGAATTTATTTTTTCTTTGTAAAATAAACGCAAACGTTTAATTTTATCATTTTAATAAAGCATAGTTATTTTTATACTTTTGTTTTGTTTTACATTTTATCCAAATAATTTATGTATGTTATATCAATGATTACGAGTACATCAATCAAATACTTTATAGTTCATACGGTGTTTATATTATTATGATATTAATGTATACTTTTAATTATAAACTATTCTTTCTAAAATGCATTTTTACAAAAAAGGAAATAAAATCATTAAATTGTGTATCTATTGAAGTCTATCTAATTTTAAATTCTATTACCTATTTCTGTACCTATTATGTTAAACACATAAGATTCGGCAATAGTGAATGCTACTGTATCTCATAATACGAATTTTTGACTGAGTGTACACAGTTAGAGGTGTACGAGAAGAACATATAATACTTGTTTATTTTATTTTAAGTAGTATGTACAATATGAAAACAATGACATAGCTATACGAATTTATATAGTAATAATAAAAATATTAATAAATGTGCTGATAAAAATACCTATACAAAAAAAATTTAAAAATCTGAAGGATCGACAACTGTATATGTACATAAACTCAAATAATGGATTCAGTGTCAATAAATAATGTTCAATATTGAATTGTCGTGCATCAAAAGGTGGGTGCATAAATCAAAGTTTTTATAAACGCGCACACACGACAGAAGGTACTTATTTAATAAACCAAAAATATAAAATATAAATGTTAATTTAATTTAAACAGAGGCGTATTAAATTATTATATAAATGCATTTTACAAATATATATTTAATATTATATATATTTGTATAAAAACAATTACAACATATTGATGATTTTTGCTAAAAGTGAGCTTTAATTATAAGAAATGAAATAAGTTTACATTTGTAAGATATAGTGTTCTAATACTTCATTTTTATTATTTTATGTATATAAATTACTACACTCGGACTTGCAACGTGTCTTATAACGACTGATAACCATCTTAATAGACTCTGTTAATGTCTTTTGTAAAATAATATCACTATAAACACGAAAGACTATCCAAATAGTAATAATTTGGTAATTCAGAATATATTTAGTTTAATTCGATTTTATTATTTTGAATTCAAGTTGGATATATTTAACATAAGTATATAGACATACAGGGAAACTCAGATGCATGATAATAAAAACATTAAAAAACACCCATAAAAAAAACGTGTTTGTATCCGAGATAATATTATATCGATTAAAAATAAATAAAAATATATACATATAGAACAAACATAAACATTTTTAATAACATATAATTTGAATTAATTTAAAAGAGTTTTGGGAGTGTTTTTCTCCAACATTAATTCGTAAAATTCTAAACGTTTGTAAAAGCAATAAATTTAAAAAGCAAATAGTAAATATTTTCGTAGTTGTTTTTGATATTTAGCCGTCAGCAAATAATTTAAACATTCAATAATAATATTGCTAAGTGAACAAAACACTCCTATAGAAAAAATATATGAAAGACGTATTGTTGTGGTATTATTATTATCACCATCAATTTTATTGAATATTAGTACGATAAAGAAAATAACAACAAAAAACAAAATTGTTTTCAGCAAACCAATAATCGAACAGGGGAGGAAATATATTTATTTCGAAAGTAGGTAGGTATAGGACATAGTCACTACATAACGTGAGTACGTTACACGACACCAGGTTAGGTTATTCGATACCCATATAACAACGTTATTATACTGTCAAATTCACACGTCACTTGAGCAAAATACATTATACACACCGTACAGTTTCATATATATATATATATTGTATCTACTATATTATTGGCTTCTGGGACAGTATAATATTATTAAGACTATGTTTAGGTATACCTATAAATATCTATTTATTGTACAAAGTAAATGATACACATACCTCGCACCGACTACCACTTGTTTTCTGGCTATGTCGAATAACAGCTGTGAGTACGATGTCACTCCATCTTCCGAAAACGTGTTGGCCGTTGACATTACATCTACGAAAAAACCAAATAATCAAAATTATTCACACATCAAAATAACCTAAAGCAAACGGGTCTTAATATTTTTCGGAGATCATTTTTTATACGTTTTCAACTGATTTCGTTTCATTTTATATTTTTATGTTTTAATTTTTATCAACCTGTTTTGTATGTATTTTTTTTCATGCAGAATACGTTATACCGCCTCAGGGCATCGATATCATTCTCTCGTAGTATTATTGTTATTCGGTTTGTATACTTATTATATACATAATCTTTCTTTTTTTTGTTGTTGTTGGCGAACGAGTAACGACCATATGGACGCATTTTAAATGGTAAGGGAAAAGGTGATTTAATTTATTGAGACGCACGTACATGCTGTACAACACCCAACCGGTCCTAAACGCGAGTACCTATAGCGCACGAGTAGACGTCCATAAAGAAACAAATGCAAAAAAAAAAATGATAACTGACAAAGTGATCAATTAAACATAAAAGGTTTATTTTAATTTTATTCAACGCAAAAACAATTTTTCATTTTTTATTATTTTTTTTTTTTTGAACCTTACAATTATTATTGTAGTTCACGATTTGATTGCATTCAAGTCCATTTCGGTCAAGTATCATTCGATTGTCGTTTGTAGTAAAATTACTCATTGTACGCGTTTATGCGTTTATGATGTATAACCACTGTAAAGACACGACGTTTATATTTATTCATTAAACATCACACAGAATCTCACGATTTTTTTAACACATATTATTATTTATACGAGTATTGCTACAGATTGTTATTAGAAAAACTTATCGAGAATTATTATTTTTTACATAAGTAGTATTCATTTTTAAAACATATTGCAAGCATTAATAATATTTAGTCATGTAATATTTTTTAAGTATTTTATTTAAACTATAAATGTACATACTATACATTCTAACAATTAAAATTCCCCAATAGCAAAAATTAATAATTATTGAAGGTAAAATAATAAACATTAAAGATATTTTTTTTAATGTTTATATCAAAATGTGTATGGTTTGCTAGAATTTAAATGCACAATAGATAATAGATTAAACTCATAAATACATTTAAATATAAATATGCTTATTTTGAGTTGTGTATACCTACCTATAAATATTACTATATACCTATTACATTCTACCTACAAATACCGCCCAAGCTATATAATATATTTTCTATTTATGATTTAGCTTTTGTGTATTTTATTATAATATAAATACAATTGTTTTAATATTGACTACCTACTTATTATTTTTTTTTTTTTTTGTATTTAAAAAGGTGTTAAATCTTAATATATTAATTTCTATGTATAATTAGCAATTTGCTTTGTTTATACAATATGTATATTATTATAATTTATGTATATTTTTGTTTTAATTAGTTAACTTAACAAAAATATTTAACTCACACTATATGATTACCCAAAATCGATATGCCATATACTGTTGTTAGTCACTACAATCAAGTAAGTTACTATTGATACTTACAGTACTGTTATGGAATATATTATGTATAACACAAATATAAATTAACAAAAAATATATAAACACCAATACAAAAATATTAAAATATATTTTAATAATTTTATCAACTGTTCAATATAAATATAATAAATCTACTATTTTTTATAAATATTACGAAATCAATGAAAATAAATCAAAACAGATTCGGATTTATATATCATAGTAATATGGTACTAAAATTAAAATATACAACGAAAGCATATAGAATAATTGACAAAAACCTAAATTTATAAATTAAAACGAAACATTATAGGTACATATTATAATATAATTTTTAATAACTTAATTTTAGAACCATATTATGTGGTATCATTAAATCATAATAAAAATATTTATGTATAACTTCACTAGGTATATGATCAATACGAGACAAATAGTAATCGAATCTAAGTTATATTAGATATCATACAACAATAATATGGGTATATCTGAAGAACATAATGCCAAAATGGAAATTACAGTTTTATCTTCCACCACTGTAGTCACGAATAAGAAAATTATAATATTTTTACATTTTATTATTTTATTAGAGTTATTTAAATTATATTAATTTATGTTAACGTAAATTACTTAAATTTATTTTTTAAATGAATGGTATTTACATCTACTACGGGTGTGAAATTTACTAATATTCGTCACTTTTATTTACAGAAATAAAATAATAATACTATTTAAAAATTACCAACTAATGGATATATAGCTTTTTAAGTGATATTGAACAATTAACATTTTGAGGATTTTATAAAACATTTGTATAATAATAATTTTACTGAAAAAATGTATTCAATTATTTTATAGCTAGTAGCTACGCATATACATCGCCATTATTTAAATGTTTAGTATAGGCATATAATTATACTAAATAGAAAATAATATTGAATAGTTTGTACTAATTTAATAGATACCTCAATAATTCGGAAACAACACCTGATCACGTTTAAATTGGCAAAACAGGTTTATGTTGCTAAATTTGACTAATTATAACTAACAATCACCTTTCAAATACTTTTATCAGCATTAAACATTTTTAACCATACTTAATGCATATTTGTCGGATAAAATCGCTATATCACGGATTTCTTTGTTGAATACATTTTTGGATACATCACGACAACAAAAAGATACTTATCATTATAGTGGCTTATATCTAATTCTAATGATTTAAAAATAATAAATTATATAGGTATCATAATCAAAATCTACCACAAAATGAACATTTATAATAATTACAAGATTTATGAGATGAAAATACGTTACATGAGATTTTATTTAGGGAAAAACACAATTGTTTTAAGTGTTTCATTAAAAATGTTAAGATATTTTTTATTAAAAATGAATATTTATTAAATCTTGCAAATCAAAGATGATTTGTGTATTTTAATACGAATTTAAATGCTCTAAAATACTTAATAAATAAAAAATAATAATGATAATTTTCATTTATCTAACGTCGTAATATAACTACGAATACAAAAGTCACTAGATATATTATATCAATACATAACATAAACGTATAAACAAACATAAAACTAATTAATTTAATAGTATTGATTATAAATATTTACTAAACCTGAATATTTCTAACCATAATTTATACTCTATCAGTATTTGATACGATTTCTGTAAAATAAATAACTGTTATGTTATATAGTCTTATATTTTGTTCAAAGCTTTTTATGTTGTGTGCATTATAATAATATCATTTTACGTTCTGAGCAGTCATTAAAAATTTCAAAAACAATACAAAATGTAGTATGATATATTGAATGAAACTCTCGTTAAAAAAAAATTTAAGTTTTAATCATATAAGCAATGTATTCTTTTAGTAAAACGTAATGTTAATTGTTTTAAATAATGGAAATAAGGAATCTTAATTGTGTTGTGTGTAAACTCAATTCAATAAACCAGAGTGCTGCAAGATCAGTAAACAAGAGTAAAATATGACATAATTTAACGCATTTTATTATACATACTTCAAACAGAAACAGTGGAAATTAAATGGAAATATAAAGATAAACTGAAGACTCGTTATTTTATACTATAGTGTAGGTGCATAGAAAACGTTTAGGTTTTATATAACGACCTCCTACGATCGTCGTAAAGTAAAATGGCAATTTTTGACCTGAACGTTAGGGTTTTCGATATCGGGGTGACCAGATGTGCGAAGAAGAAGAAGAAGAATAAAACGAAGTCTCCGTGGCCGTCGCCTACATCCTGACGTGCGACCATATGTTTATATTGGATATTACTCGACGAAAAAGAAACTGCTGGGACCCCATGTGCGACGCAAACGAACCTCGTCCGCGCAGATATATTATTATTATTTATATTTTGTATATATATATAATAAAATATAAATACAGACGGGGGTGTGTGTGTCGCGCTCAAAGATATCGAGAGATGACACCCACTAGCGATCCTGGAGAACAACTCTAAACGACGTGAGTACACGCAAATCGTATGCATGTCTCCCTACCACTACCTCTCTCGTTATATCTCTATATCTCCGTCTTTCTTAACTGGTGCGTATGCCTGCGGCCATAACCATTCCGTACGTCTACGCGGCCTGCTTAATACTTAGGTATATTATTATAAGTATAATAATTATGACAGCGGCCGCCCGCTATGTCCAAATGCCTTCTCGTTGTCGAAACGAACTGTATAAAATATATATATATATGTATAATAATAATATTATCATCTACCGACGTCAAGGTCGTTCTGACGGCGATTTCGTGTAGTAGTGGTTCGCCATTCGATCGACGAAACCGATAAAGAACCAAGTGGACTAGGTGCCCGTGGAGCGTTTTTGGGGTCCAATCGGTTGTAGGGTTCATTGCCATAAGATATTTTCCAAGATGAAAATAAACTAAATTCTTATGAAACACAAAGTATCACCGAGGTAGGTATTTGAAATAAAAAACGTATTTCATGTAGAAAATAATTTCGAAAGTAAAATATAAAAAAACTACGATAAGTATTTATTAGACAGTAAATATATATTTAATATATATTATTTAATTAATTTTAATACGTTTTATAGCAAAAATATGAGTCTTTTCAATGTTTTTGATATTTTATTTATGTAATAACAAGTTTTATAATATTTTTAACTGTACGTTAATAATATTATTAAACTATATATCTTAGTTATAGGTAGTCTATAATTATCATAGCTTCTTCAATAAATTAATTTACGTTCTTACAGAACACCAGATGATATAAATGTTTTGATATTTCACTTAAAGCTCTCGTATTTTATATTACATAAACATACAATTACAAATACTTATTTTAAGTCATAATATTATTATCATAAATAAAGTTTTCCAATAATAATTATAAATGAATCTCTTTTAATTGTTACGCATAATTTAATAGTCTAATTAAACTAATTGGCTAAAACGATTAAATATTATTCAACATTTTAAGATAAATTTAAATAATTCTTTATAAGCAAAATTATAATTTCATAACCCCTAAATACTTTCTACTTTCTTTTAATACTTTAAATATAAAATATTGCACCTATATTTTCTTTTACTTGGTACTTTTTTGACATTAATTCCTATAAAAATATATTTATTAATTATTATAAAAATTAAATAATTATGACCGTTTTTTATTGTTCTACACAAAATAATATTAGTACTCAGTTACTTTTAAATTTTACTACTCTACATCATGTAAAATAAAGCAATAACCTAGTCTGAATATTCTAAACTAATTATTTACTTGGCAATTATAATTTGATCCCATAGATTGGCTTATATTTTTTTCTTTGAAATCAGTTGTTACTTCAGGCATATCAGAATTAGCACATACTACTTTGTATAATGAGTTTATGGTAACACCTAGAATGATGAGTATTTTTTCTCGAAAGAGATTAATACATTCGATGATTTAGTAATTACTCGTAGTAATTTAAATATTGGCAAGATAAGAGTTGGTAAATTGGATATAATTATTAATTTCATTTAAAATTAAGGTGTATGGACGATTATTATTTTATTTCATTTACTTTCGAAAACATAGCAAGTACATTTAATATCAAATGTAAAAAATTCATTGTAAAAACAAATTAAAAGTTAAATATCGTAATAAAAGAGTAAAACTGATCCATCTTTAGTTGTTTAATAGAATAAAGAGAAAGTTCTATATTATTACTGAATACAATACATAATATAGTGGAAATAGTTGAGTTTCTCAAATAATCCACGAATGTATAGAAATGTACAAAATTAAATCATAAATTAATCAAATAAAATGTATTTTACTTACAGAAAAAATTAATTTTTATTAAAATATTTAGTATTTGTCTTTTTTTTTTAATTTATTGAACTCATTTAATAGGTATTCATAATTAGTTAACAATACAATTTCACTACTAAAGTATGTTTAACGAAAACTATAGTACGATATAAAATAGTCAACGAATCATCCCGCTATAGAATAAAAGAAAAACATGGTTTATCTTAACTATTTGTATTCGCAGTGATCTTTTATTTCTGGGAAAATATTATTCACAAAACACTCGATAATAAACTAGATGTTTGATTGCACTGATTGCAGCTATCGCGATTATGTTCGATTCGATTTAGATACACTACGTAATGACTTATAATACACTTATGTCTACTACTACAATACCGATCGACAAGTTTTCTCAAAGATCCTTTGACCTCTGATATTCATAACAATTATTATTAACGAGAGAAAATGTTATGTATTATATTTATTATATTCATACATAAAGATGGTTGTGTGGGAAACAATGACTTTCCGTCAAGTCACTGTTGACATTATGCAAACTCCGGTATTGTTTTGTTACCAGCGCCCCAAACACACGCCTAAGGAAGTGTGCTATCACGGCGGCCAATTAAAAAAAAATCAGCCCTGATACTTGTGTGTTGATTTTTAAAATTTAGGCCGTGGATGTGAAATCTCCGAGGCAATTGAGTGGTAAAAAAAAAAAAAATAGAGAAAAAAACTCTGCTCGGGTCCGGTACTGTATAAGGACAATACAGCATTCTTTTCTATATACCGGCCCGAGCTTCTGGTCTATAACGGATGATTTGTACAGCCTAAACGGGCACGTCTTCATTAACGAGAAAACGTCCGCTCCGCCTGCCGTGTTCGTCGCCAGATCCGGACGTCCGCAACGAAGGTCACGAGTGCGAAAAAATAAAACCCCGACGGCAAGGACCTCCATACACGTATACCTACGTCCTGCGTCTACAAAGAAAAATAGTTCGGATAACAGTATTGTAAGGACTACATGCACTGTTTTATACGAACATATAACATAACTTATTATCAGTGCAGGTTATTAAATTATGCCGAACGGTATACACAGTCAACAAATGTTTTTGTTAAAAAACATACCTATACACATCTATTAATTTAATTCTATTGTTCTATATATGTATACTATATGTATAAACAGACGTACGTGATACACAGTCTTAAGTACATTACATATTAAATACGTTATCATACTGTAACAGCAGATATATGCAGTGAATATACGTCGTACATGTAATCTGTTCAATCATAATATTATAGTATCGCTTCAATAATATATCATTTACTTATTTTTTAGTTTAAGTATTTCTTTTAACTAACTAGATAATTTTTATAAAAATATGTATGACTGTATTGTATCGTCATAATTTTTAATGATGATTTATAGATTTGATTTTATTAAAAAGAGTTTATTATAAACGTTTATGTTTAATATTGTATTTCACATTTATATTTATACCTAGATTACCTACAAACTAAAATTATTCAAATTATAAAAAGTAATTTTCCTGAAGTAATGATGAAATAACCGACAAAAAATCCTCAATTTTCACTATCAATAATTAAACTTCTTTAATTAAACAAATGTCATACGATGACTTAAATAAAATTATCAACATTACCACTAAAAACAAATGGCAAAGTTTTTAGAACAAACAAAACATCAAATTAAACTAGATTAAAAGTGATGTTAATCAATAAATAAATTTAAATTCAAATCGCAAAGAAGATAGTGTTTTTAATATACTACCTATTGGTCACACCAGATTTACTCACGGTTTTATGATAGCCAGAGATGAACTACCCCCATACGCTAAGTCTGTAAAACTAAATTCTTTGTTAAACACATTATCGCAGACTGTATAAAATACAATCAAGACTGGATCGATCATGACATATCTCACAATATTGATACCGCACTTGGTCCAATTTATAAACATAATTTAGACTTAATCAATTTTCTCAAACAAACTAATTTTTAAAACTGTATTAAAAAAAAAAATTGTTTATTATGAATTCATTATTTCATAATTTAAAATATATTTTGTAATTAATAGCCTGTGATACCGATATTTTTGATCAATGAAAAAAAAATAATAATAATAAAAATCTCCTAGGTCAACTACCTGTATTAGAATTAGTAAAATAAATGATTCAATTAATTGATTTAGAATTATCGTGAATAAGATATACCATCAGAGCATAATAAATAAATTTAATTTACATATAAATATAATTTGTAATAGAATCACTATAAAAGTATTAATTAGTTAAATTTATATGGATGCATTAATTAGGTAAATATCTAGTAATGAGTAGCATATCATATTGTATTGTTAGCAAAAATAAAAATGTAGGTATTTTATTATTAACAGTTAATCTTTTTGACAGAGATTACAATTGAATCGTTATACTTGGAATCTAGAATAAAATATTAATTTTTTTAAAGGTAATTTTAATGGACGAAAGATAATATAGATAAATCTGTCATGTTGGGGTTGATTTATTATACAACTAACAATGCGTGCATACTTTTAACACTAAACTTAGTCATGCAATCATAATACCCTTTACCTAGAAGTATAACTATCTAAGCATCAGAATAAGTCTCGTTGTTAAGATACTTTAAGCTGTCGTGACACATCATATGATTTAGTAGTACTTTCGCCGCCGAGTAATATTATAAACTTCACGACAGTTCAAGGCAGTTTTGTGCACTCTGGACAATTTTCTAATTATATTCCATTTATAACATTTAAAAAAAAAAAGAAAATGTTTACTCCTAACCAAATAATAATAGGAACGAAATTATTTCTAACATGATATTTACCTTTATATGGTATAACATGGTGTCCTGGTTCGATTTGGTGACCTTTAACGCACGCTACCACCAAAAATATGAGGAACATCATAATTGCGTTTTGTCTTTTAATAAGCCCTGAAAATAAAAAACCAATCAATCAAACAATGTAACATGCAGGTAAAGTAAATTATTTAGTCGGGTACATTATAATATATGTCACACGTACATAGTTGTCAAATGCCTCAAAATATTACCAATAGTAATCACTTTTTCAACTATCAAACTCCAGATTAATGACCAACAATCGTTCAAGTGTCATTAAAGACCCATGTGAAATGAATTGTGAGCAACGGTCGACCCTAACCTTACTTAAATCAATATCGTTTATTATGCATACTTAAAACTCTATTAGAAACGTGGGAGAGAGGATGGTAGATCAGTATAGGGTACCCAATACAAAATTATTATATTACTATATTATAATATCTACTTTATGCTTGTTCAGCGTGATAGATTACCCGCTGTGCACCGACTGTCGTTTATTAGAACCGTGTGACCATAGAATCCTGCAGTAGACCAATTTGATTTCAATGAAAAGGAATAATTATTTTAGCCCGCTTTAACAAAAATATAATGTAATGATCAGAAAGATGATAATTATTTTCAATATCATCTTATAATAATATAATTATAGTATACATTTATTTGACGAATTGTATTGGTAATAGACATTCGTTATAGACAATTTTTTTCTAAAAAATTATAGTATTGAATATTTCAAAGAATTACGAATTCAAAAAAATAAATGTTCTTATAAACCACCATAGTTTATGTTTAATAATATCAATAATAAAAATTAAATTACGATTCACATTTATAAAAAATTTTTATTTTTATTTTGACACCAATTTAAAATGCAAGTATTATGTTAATTGACATAAATACCTAACAAAATATTAAAAAGTAAAATAAAATCATCAATAATATGTTAATGTTTATGCTTAAAATAAAATGAAGTTAAACTAATTTGATGAAATTATAAAATGAACAATACAAAATAGAAAATCGTTAGTTTAAAATTAATTTTAGTACGTTTTTATTGTACTCCAAAAGTAATTATGTTGTATAGAAAGTTCGATAGTTAATTCGATTCTATTAAATTATAAACTAATATTCTAAATGGCCGAAATTCTTGTGAATAAAAATAATAATTATTATTATTACAATTTTTATAATAAATAATGATCACTTCAGGCAAATGAACCTAATTTAAACTGTAATTATATTTTTAACAAGAAGCTTTATGCACATACATGTTTACTTTCATAAATTATACACTGTCTAATAACTTTTTCTCAACATTTAATTAGAGTAAATATATTATATAGATATATATATTAATATTCCAAACCAGTAAAAGCAATTTATATAACTTTTATTTTTATTTAAAATAATAAAATTACTACCTTACAATTTTTATAATAATCAAAAACAATTCAATTATACGGTGTAAAATTCATTTTAAAGTATTTAAAACGTTATAATATGTTGTAATAATTTATAAACATTTTGATAATAATTCTTACTTACGCAGTGGTCAGTGGCTCACTGGCATGCCATATGTATTATATAAATACATAAATTTGCAAATAAAAGTAGATATTATATAAATTATACTTTGTAATTCAAATTCTGTAAGTTTTCAGATTACTGTATCATAATATTACACTACTAATTATGTACGTGACCTTTATTAGAACAAATACCAAATAGGTATTGATACTAAATCCAAATAAAATTTGATAATGTAGTTATATCATAGTACATAATAGGTATAAGTCCTAATATCAGTTTATAAGCAAATAAATTACTAGTCAAATGTTATATATCTGACCAGATAAAATGTATAGATTACAAACACAAATAACAAATAATTAACCAGTGGTGTAGTAAACGATAATTTTAAAGGGAATTGCCTAACCTAACTTAAGTGGTGATCGGTGGATCTCTCAATTATAAATGTAATATAATAATAATACTCAATAGAAAGTAAATACTAATCTGAAATTTAATTAGTTGTATTATATTATTATGCATTTATAATATAAATTTATGTTAGCTACCCTTCCACCATTTTTGGATCTTTAGTAGTGAGAAAGTCTTTAGTATATTTTTCTTTGCTTCTAAAATATTTTTAGTTCACCACGCCACTGTAAGTAACTGTGTTATTTTAATTGAATTGTTATTATTACTTAATAGTTAATTTAAAGTAATGCAGGTATAATATCTATTATCGTTTTTTATTTCTATATCACTTTATTATTTTTTGAAACGTCATTATTATTCAAAATATTATGATAGATATTAGGTATATTAAGGTATATTTTAGTGGATTAATATATACATTCAACGTATATTTTATTTAAATGCTAACGAAGCATGATTTTCACAATGGATAGTTTTATAATATATATGTATATATATAGTTCTTTTTTTTTTTTTTTTGACCACAGTTATTGTTTAGAGGGAATATATAGCTCAAACTAAACACAAAAACGGACTGTAGGTAGATAGTCATTTCAAGCCTAATAAGATTTCTCTTGAACTTAACTGAATACACTATAAGAATGAAAGAGGAAAAAATGATTTCGATACTCGTTTTTATTTTAAACCTACCGCGTCTTGAGTAGACACGTACACGCGCACGCATCCGGTTGGTGTATAATACCTCCTTGTGTGGCTACCGTTTTATTTTTAACAAAAAAAAGTACTCTTACAAACATATCCGCAATGAATACAAATTACAACAAACGGTCAGTGGATACAATAATGCTATAGTGCTATAGTTCTTAGAACTAAAATTTTGTTCCTATTTTAGTTATAACTTTTAATGTAATAATATAACATCAATAATATTATCTATATATATATATTTTGATTTAACCACATATTTATTTCTAAATTTATTGTAATAAATTATGTATGATATGATGAATCTTAATATATTACAATCAAATATTATCGATTAAACTTAAAATATGTTTCAAAAATAAATCTTTGTAAGAACAAAAATGATAACAATGAATTAACTATAATATGATTGGATATCGTGGTTCTATATATTATAATTAAATTAACTTGTAAGCATCATTTTAAGAACGACAACATTTTTTTTTTTTTTTGCTGACACACTATACAGTATACATTAATATACATTTGATAAAAGATCAAAGAATATTGACTAGTTAATACTACTGTCGACAAATAATTAAATACAATGTAATTAATTTATCGGTAATTATACAGCCGTTAATATAATATAAGCTTACTAACATATTATATTGCACAAAAATAAATAAAATCTGTATTGAAAAATACGTAGCTTAAATAATTTAGATTAGCTAAATATAAATTTTTATTACTAAAATAAAATAAAATTCATCATAGATACATATACGAGTATTTAATAAAAAAATGTTTTTAATTCATAATCATGATTAAAAAACTACAAAAAGTTCCTTTTTTATACTATAGTTATTACAATTTAACAAACTCTAATTACATCTATATGGGACCTACAAACGAATGCATATAAGCGAAATATTTGTTAATAAAAATTATAATTAATTTTATTAAGTAAATAATAAATAGATGTTTACAAATTAGAAAAGCAATCCTTGTCTCGTGTATAAATACTATATGATTATATGGACTGTACTATATTGTGTTAAATTATTTTTGAAACGAAAAAAATCTCATAGTAATATAGAAAATTCCTTTTTAAATTTTAAAATAAAATCATTTTAATAATATCATTAAAAAATACTTATTATATACCTATATATATATATACTTATACTATAAAGTGCAATACTAACATGATTTTAAAACAAATATTCTATACATAAAATCTCTGTGTAAAAGGTGACTTACTCTTTTAACTGAAATAAATTAAACATCATTATAATAATATTATATTTCTCGCTTAGTTCAGATTCTATAAAAATAATTATTTATTTTAATTTTAAAATTAACATTGGCCGTTTATTTTGGTCTTTAATATTTTGTTTAATTTTAATGACCTAAAGTTTTAATATTAAGTTTTTAAAAATTATTTTATGATTAGAAAAATTGAAAATATAATTTTTTTTTAATACGAAATTTATTGTTTTTTCCATAACTAAGTAATGAACATAATAATACAGACTATTATTATACATTTAAGTACATTAATATTGTTGATCAACTAACAGCTATAGTATGTTCAAATTTTATCACATCGTTTTGATTTGAATGACTTCCAACAACGGGCGGTGTCCATTGACGTGGGCCATTAATTTCATTGAATGATAAAATATATGCTAATTAACACACTCACATTTCAATAACACTATTATACGGTGTCAAATAAAATAGGCCTTTATAATTTATGCAAAAAATCGTTTCAGAGGTAGCAAATTAATAAAACATACAAAAACATTGCAATACGATATACAATGTACCTATCTCATAATATATTATATATTAGTATCAGGTTTAATTGCTAAAGAGGCTAAAATACAATTGTTTAAAGTTTAATAAAGGAAACAAGAACCAGCTTAATATATTATAATTGAAAAATAACCTTTTTTTTCATTATAAAGAGAAATCGACAAATTTTCAGAAAAGTCATCAAAAATTAAAAATAAGATTATTGGCATTGAAAAAAAAATACAATCATGAATAAATGAAATATTATAAAATAAGCACAAAATTACTTTTTGTTCAAGATTTAAAAAAAAAATAAATATTTTCTAGCATAATATTTATATTTAAAATGAATTAATTAAATACTAACGTAAGTCGAAATTCAGACTAATAGATATATTTTATAAAACTGTTAAATACCCAAGTATATTATTCGCTATTAAAGTATTAAGCATTATTATTGGAGATTTAGATGAAATAAAAATATCTATCCCTCACGCATGGTTATTCTATTTAAGTTTTACATAATTTAACCATAATTTCAAATTTGTATACAGCAACTATCTATTTATTCGATTTTTATCCTATAGATTTACTACATTACAACTTTCGATTTTATCTCCATTTAATCGGGTTACTTTTTCGTGTAAGAAGACATTAGTAGTTTG